TTTATGCCTTACTACTATATGGTGTTTTTAAAAGCCTTACTATACTAGTCGGTTTCTTTGACATTTTTATGCACTTAGTATACTTTGAACTTTTTTTTGACAATTTTATGCCTTAAACTAATACTTGACGGTTTTAATAATTCATGCCTTGTAATACTTATGGCGTTTTAAATCCCCTTACTATAACTATGACGTTTTGACTTTTATGCTTTAAATAGTATTACGTTTTTTGAAATTGTCATACCTTACTATTACTATGACGTTTTATGCCTTATATCCATGGCATTTTTTTTACCTTTCTATGTCTCAACTATACATATTGGCGTTTTATGCCTTATTATACTATGTCGTTTTGACATTTTTTAATTGCCTTAATATTACTGTTGACTTTTTTTGACAATTATTTGCGCTACTATTACTATACGAGTTTTTTAATAATTCATGCCTTGTAATACTATGGCGTTTTTATCCCGTTACCTATTTACTAATGACGTTTTTGACTTTTTTATGCCTTACATATAGTATTACGTTTTGAAATTTATTACCTACTTAACTATGACTTTTATGCCTCTAATTAAATAACCATGGCCATTCTTTTTTAACCTTCCTATGTCTCACTATACTATTGGCGTTTGGATGCCTACTATACTATGTCGTTTTTGACATTTTATGCCTTACATACTATGACGGTTTTTGACAATTTATGCCTTATTATACTATGCATTTAGCCTTAATATACTGTGACGATTTTTATTGACATTTTTTATGCCATCATTTATAATTATGGTGTTTTTATGCCTTTACTCTATACTAATGTCGTTTTCAAATTTTTAGTTGCCACTATTACTCAGACGTTTTTTACATTTTATGCTTACTATAGTAATGGTGTTTTTAAGCCCTTATACTATACTATTCGTTTTTTGACATTTTTATCCTTTAATATACTGTGACTTTTTTTGACAATTTATGCCTTACAAACTTAATGACGGTTTTTAATAATTTCATTGCCTTGTAATACTATTGGCGTTTTACCCCTTACATATACTATGACGTTTTGTGGACTTTTTTATGCCTTACATATAGTATTACGTTTTTCGAAAATTTTATACCTTACATACTCACTCATTTATGCCTTAACATATACCATGGCATTTTTTAACCTTTTCTAATGTCTTCACTATACGATCGTTTATTGCCTTACTATACTATGTGTTTTTTGACATTTTTATGCCTTAACTATACTATTGTTTTTTGACATTTATCTACTATTACTATGACGGTTTTTCTAATAATTTCATGCCTTACAATACATATGCATTTATCCCTTACTATACTATGACGTTTTTTGGCTTTTTCTATGCCTTTAATATAGTATTAGTTTTTATGTAAATATTATCCATACCTACTATACTATGACGTTTTTTGAAATTTTATATACCTTACTTATACATATGACGTTTTTTGGACTTTTTATGCCTCAATATCACTATGACGTTTTTATGCCTTTATATACTATGAGTTTTTTGACCTTTTATGCCTTAAACTGTACTATGTTCGGTTTTTTGAAACTTTTTATGCCTTTAAAAACTATGAAACGTTTTTTACTATTTTTATGCCTTCTATAGTAGTGGTTTTTTTAAGCCTTACTATACTATTCTTTTTGACCATTTTTATGCCTTAATATACTGTGACGTTTTTAATAATTCATGCCTTGTAATCACTATGGCGTTTCTTATCCTTACTATAACTATGACGTTTTTTTGACTTTTTTATCGGCCTAAATATAGTTATACGTTTTTTTGAAATTTTATACCTTACATACTATGACGTTTTTATCCTTAATATACCATGGCATTTTTTACCTTTTCTATGTCTCACTATAACTATGGCGTTTTTATTGCCCTTACTATACTATGTCGTTTTTTGACATTTTTTGCCTTACTAACTTATGACGGTTTTTGACATATTTTATGCCTTATTTATACATATCGGCATTTATGCCATTAAATATTACTGTGACGTTCTTTGACATTTTTATGGCCTCATTTATATATGGTGTTTTTATGCCTTACTATACTAATGTTCGTTTATCAAATTTTTATGCCTTACCTATACTATGGACGATTTTTTTTTTTACATTTTATTGGCTCTATACCTATACCTATGTCGTTTTACATATTTTTATGCCTTACTATTACTTTATGACGTTTTTAAAATTTCAATGCCTTATTATACTATGACGACCTATTCCTACTACTATGTCTGACATAATGCCCAAAAAATTTGTTTATGCCTCTCCCACTATACTATGTCGTTGTTTTTTCAAATTTTCATGCCCTTTAACTATGACGTTTTTACCATTTTTATGCCTTACTATATAGTATGGTGTTTTTTTTTTTAAAAGCCTTATACCATACACTATGTCGTTTTCTTTTGACATTTTTATGCCTACTATACTGTGACTTTTGTTTGACAATTTTTATGCCTTACGTATACATTTTGCGACGTTTTTTTAATAATTTCATGCCTGTGTAATACTATGGCGTTTTTTATCCCTTACTATTACGTATGAACGTTTTTTTGACTTTTTTATGCCTTTAATATAGTATTTACGTTTTTGAATTTTATTAAAAAATTTCTTTTTACCTTACGTATTACTATGACCTTTTTATGCCTAATATACCATGGCATTTTTTTACCTTTCTATGTCTCATATACTAGGCGTTTTATGCCTTATACTATACTATGTCGTTTTTTTTTTGACGATTTTATGGCTACTATCACCCTATGCGCTTTTGCTTTTTTGACATTTTTTATGCCGCCTTTTTTTAAATATTACTATGACGTTTTTATGCCTTATTATACTATGACGTTTTTTATCCCTTACTATACTATGACGTTTTTTGAAATTTTTATGCCTTACTATACTATGACGTTTTTTGACGTTTTTATGCCTTACTATACTATGACGTTTCTTGACAATTACATGCCTTACTATACTATCACATTTTTATGCCTTACTATACTATGACGGTTTTTAATAATTTCATGCCTTACAATACTATGGTGTTTTTATCCCTTACTATACTATGACGTTTTTTGAAATTTTTATGCTGTACTATACTATGTCGTTTTTTTGAAATTTTTATGCTGTACTATACTATGACGTTTTTTTTGACATTTCTATGTCTTACTATACTATGACGTTTTTTGACATGTTTGTGTCTTAACATACTATGCAGTTTTTTGAAATTTTTATGCCTTATGACTCTTTCGTAGAATAGTGAGGCATAAAAATGTCAAAAAAAGTCATAGTATAATAAAGCATAAAAACGCCATAATATAGTAAGTTATGAATATGTTAAAAAAAACGCAATAGTATAGTAAGGCATAAAAAAGCCATACTATGTAGTAAGGCATACAAGTATAAAAAAACCTCATAGTGTACATTAAGGCATAAAAAAGTCAAGAAACGTCATAGTATAGTAGAGCATAAAAGTGCCATAGTATAGCAAGGCATAAAAATGTCAAAAAACATCATAGCTTAGTAAGGAATAAATATTTCAAAAAACGGTACAGTATAGTAAGGCATAAAATAGTCAAAAAAGTCATAGTATGGTAAGGCATAAAAACGCCATATTATAAGGCATGAAACTGTCAAAAAACGTCTTAGTATAGTAAGGCACAAAAAAATTATATTCAGTCTTAAAAAATATTGTAGTAATGTAAGGCATTAGAGTTACCAATTAACCTAATGCGCATAAGGCACGGAAGAACAGGCACAGGGAGAACATTACTGTTGTGACATAACTTTACACAAAAGGGCCCCAGGCCTGGCATTCGGACCAAGAACCTTCTCACTGTGAGCTGACAGTTCTAACTGCCGCATCACTGAGCCACCATAAATGGTGTTCTGGAAGCCTTTTTTGTACCTGCACAGTTTCAATGCATTTTTTAATGTTTACAATCAGAACAAGTGAGGTTTATTACTTGTTAGCTTGCTGATATCTAATTCATCTCTAAAACACCAAACTCTCCCTTTAAACCGGGGTCAACAGTTTCAGTTATTTAGCAAAGTAGCTGACATCAGCCACAGATTATAGTAAACTTGTGCTGATGGATGTTTGACAATTAGATTGTTTACGCTAGGGGCCCATTTACTATAGAACAGGAATTTGTCAACTGTCTAAATGATGCTAAACTGTTTATACTGAGGCTGAGCTGAGCTAGTTTATTCTTTGATTTACAGATTCACCAATCTTACATTACATGATTTGTCTGGTATTTAATTCACTGGATTAGGCATAAACATCTTGATTAAATTCACACATACGTTTAACATCATTCAATATAAAATGAGAAAATACTGTTAATGTTGAATTGTGTTTCTTCAATAAGACCGCTTGAGGTTTATGTGTTACATATCTGTCTGTTTCTTATCTTAGAGGATACAAACTGTGAGTGCCACAGATCCTGATGATCCAATCGAAGGCCACCGCTTCCTCTTCCATCTTGCACAGGAGGCTGCTGGGAAGGCTAACTTCTCTGTCCGCGATAACAAAGGTAATAAACACTCAGCTCACGTTTGTGCTCATCAGATTAACTTCCATCTTTTGTTTAATGTTCCCATAAGGCTCTTACAGTAAACCTGCTGTTATATTTAACCACATCTACTGTCATACGTGCCATACATGTTGTGATTCATTGATATTCTGTAGTTCTTCATCCCACAGCACTAAAAGCATTCACAGACCAAATGAAATTTCTAGTACAGTTTATTGAAATATTTATTCAGGTTATTGATTTCTGCACAGTAATCCGATATCCTGCTGTTTTCAGACAACACAGCCTGGATCCTAACACGGAGGAATAGCTACAACAGTCTGCAGAAGAGCATCTACCACGTGCCCGTGGTCATCTCCGACGGAGCATTCCCGCAGCAAAGCAGCACCAACACGCTGACCATCAGGGTGTGCACCTGTGACCGCGAGGGCAACATGAAGCTGTGCAACGCTGAGGCGCTCACTGCGAGGGCGGGACTCAGCACTGGAGCCCTGGTGGCCATCCTACTTTGTGTCATCATCCTGCTCAGTGAGTACTGGCTGCAAGAAAACAACCCACAATGCACCTGCACTTCAATTTTGCAAACGTGCTTTTCAATTTCACCTTTTTCATTTTAAACTGCTGAAATTTTCACTTCACTGAAAAATTAGATCTGTTAGCGTTTCTTACAGCTTTAGAGCTTCTTGCTGTAGCAAAGCACCTCTCACAGGTGTTAGAGTCAGGTCTGTATTTCACTCATTAATTTGATTCATCACTTCTGTTGGTTTGAACAGAAAAGATCTACAGCACCTCAGACTGGGCTTTACTGTGCTTTGTGCTTTAAGATGGAAAGACATGACCCTTAATATAGGGAACATCATTGCTAGATGTCCTTACAGATGCTTTAGTATTTTTGTTAGCGCACAAATACAAAGAGCTTTTTCACTTAAAACATTAGAAGATTAAGAATCTGTCCTCTGCTAGGTAAAATATCAATGGTGGTTCAGGGAATTTTATGTCTGCCTTCTGAAAGGCCTAACTTCAATTTCTGGAGACTCGAAAACAGAGAAAAAGGTCTCAGTCAAATATGTTACAAAACCAGCTGTAAGAGTTTCCAAAGCAAACTGTCCAATAACCATATTTTCACTGACACTGATTTTCACTTTTAAAACATGTTTGAAGTAACCCAAAGAGGCTTTATATGCTGCATGTTACTCAAATGTCATAATGGTACACAAGTTGCATTTCTAGCACATAAGGTGTGTGTTCTTAAACTGCAATCCTTTGTTTTCTTAAGCACCAGTGGCCCTGAGGGGGAAAAATTCATAATGCATCCTCATGGTATCTGAGCCTTTTCTACAAAGTCAGACAAAGTCCCTGAACATCAGTAAATACTCATGCAACATCAACAATTCCCCCTGGACACTCACTGGCCGTCAGAGCAAGGAGAGGAGCAAAGAAACAACAAAAAAAAAAAAAAAGTCACAAAACTCTGATATTTGTTCTTTTTATTTTTGTTCTCACTGTAGTGATCGTGGTGCTGTTTGCTGCCCTGAGGAGACAGAGGAAGAAGGAGCCTCTGATCATCTCCAAAGAGGATGTCAGAGACAACGTTGTCAGCTACAATGATGAAGGCGGCGGAGAGGAGGACACTCAGGCCTTTGATATCGGCACACTGCGCAACCCAGAGGCCATCGAGGAGAGCAAGCAGCGGAGGGACATTGTCCCCGAGACCTTCTTCCCTCCGGTCCGACGGCCTGTGCTGCCCCCGACCCGGGACAATAACGGGGACGTGAGAGACTTCATCAACCAGAGGCTCCAGGACAATGACAGCGACCCGACGGCGCCGCCTTACGACTCCTTGGCCACCTACGCATACGAGGGAAACGGCTCCGTAGCGGAGTCCCTCAGCTCACTCGAGTCGGTGACCACCGAGGGCGACCAGGACTACAACTACCTGAGCGAGTGGGGACCCCGGTTTAAGAAACTGGCGGACATGTACGGGGGCGATGACAGCGACAGGGATTCCTAACGAGAGCCTGGCACACAGATTAGGAGAGAAACGTGACGTGAAACACATGTTAGAAACTTCTGGTGCATGTGTGGCGAGGAAAATGGCGCAAGGACCGAGAAACGAACACTGTTTGTCCAAGTGCTCTTTCACCGCCATCGATCACCATTCAGTTGTCCCTCGGGTGACCAGACGTAGGCTTTGTGTGTCCAGTCAGTGTTAGTTGCGTTTTTGCGAGGGCACAGTGAAAAGAGACTTTGTGTCGAGACTTTTTTTTTGTGTGTGTATATGGGGTGTACATGAGGCCCAAATATATCTATACTGATATTTTTTTTTTTTGTTTGTTTTTCCAAAGCTGCCTGTGATGGACACGTTCAACAAGCAGTTTTGTAAACCAACAGATATGCCTATGTATTTTTCAGTGTTTCTGGGACAAAAACATGCTGCATATTGTGAGTTCTATCTTAGCTTGTGTACGTACGGTAATATGATACAATACGCTGTACAGTTATTTTGTTTTTCTAATGATTTCCATTGTCCAGATGACTCCCCCCCCCCCCCTTTCACTGATGGCTGCCTGGCATTAGCCACTTATCTACAGCTGTGCTTGAGCCACAAGAAGATTTTGGCATCGTCATTCCTAATGTGAACTCTCGATACAGACCGGAGGCGAGAGGCGTACAACATCAAAATTTGTGTTAGTTGTGGCACATGACTGTTGACAAGTGGATAATGTTCTTTTAAGCTTACCTGAAGGTGTGGTAAAAGGACTGTGGGATTTAGGGCCACAACAAAACACCCTCAAACACACCAGTTTGTCGTTTTTGCAGTATCTGATTTTCATCTCCACACAGCTTTTTGCATTTGCTGTGCGGTGAGCCGAAATACCAAATATTTCCTTACTGAGCTGAATGTCGTCAGAACCATTTCCTCTTGTGCAGCCAACTCTCTGCTTGAAAAATGAAGTACATACAAAGGTGTTATTTTTTTATGCTACGCTGATAGAAATTCACCAATCTAATATGTGCCAGGCTCAGTTAAGAGGAAAATACTGGTCTTGTTGGGCTTTTTTTGCTCATCTCCACTCAGAAACTCACTTTAGTAACTCGCAGTGCTGAGAGGACACCACCAAGCTTGAAACTACAGCATCAAATTAGATTAGATGAAACATCTTGTGGACAGTTACTGTTAAAATTCATCATGCGATTTTATTGTCTTCCCCTTAAACGGTTTGTTTTACCACTTCAGGCGATGAAAAAAAAAAACAGGATTTGAGCGTCTGAATTAATGCACCAAGTGAGAAAAATGATCTTCTTGTTTTGGATTCATAGAAAAATTCTACGTGTTTAAACTTGGATTCTGTCCATATGTAACGCTTTTATACTTCATATGACAAAGAATCAAAGTCCACCATATGAATCAGAAGAGTTGCCTTATAAAAATCTTCTCATAATGAAAATAAATTAATCTCAATGACCATTTAAATGTACCATGACTGACAGCATTAAAAAAAAAAAAAAAATCTAAAATAAAAGTGTTTCTCCTGCTTTTAAGATAAAATCTACACTTGTTTGATCAAGATTTTATGTCCTGAAAGGGGCTCCATCCTTCACAGTCGAATGTATGATAATGTAACATAGCACTCCAGGAATAGAAATGTGCCAAAAAGCAAAGAACACCAGTATTTTCCTTTAAAATCCTCCTATGACTGTACTCTGGTCCCTGCCCTTCATTACATGTACTGTATGTAGTGTTGAATATGAAGCCAGTCCAAGTGTTCGGGCTTTACTCAACTGATTTCCTGCGGGACGAACAGACTTTTCCATAAAGATGCTTATCGAGGGGCGCCTGACCTTTGAGTTGCGTGGAATAGGGTTCTTAAACCCAGAGGTGTGTCCTTGGATCAGAGAGAAGGTCAAAGCATTAATCCTGCAGCGAGAACACACAACACGGTTTAGTTATAACTGTGATTTAGAAAGAAAAAAAAAACAAGAAAAAACAAGAAAAAAAGAAAAAAAAAATGAAAATGATCCTTTAACGGCAATTTTGTCAAATTACTGTAAAGACAACCTAACTATGAATAAACAGCTTTGAAATAAAGAAGGCTGGTTGAACTGGGAAGGCAGAATAATATCAACAAGAAAAAACAGGCCAGCTAAAACAAGCTGTGCCCTCACTTCAGCAAAAGGCCAATGCGTGAAGTGGCTGACATTTATCAGACATTTGAAACAGTAATAACAAAACACAATGGCATAATTGCCAAAGTGCTACTTTTTTTTTTTTTTTTTTCCTTTTTGTCCTCTGAATCAGGCTTGACATCACTGACGGTGCAGTACATTAAACCAAATGGTTGATAACACAGAAAATTCTTTATGCTGGGTTATTGTATACACATGCCCTCTTGTTTAGGTTATTAGCTTGTTGCTGGAGCTCCCATTGTTTAAGTGGCCATTTCAGACTGTGGCAACGTTGCTATGATAAGCATTTAATGGGTTTAAAAACCCTTCACTTGAAGAAAACGGCTTTTCTGCCTCAAGGTACATTGTGAAGTCTCAAATGGAAATCAACATGACAGCAGCACTCATCAAAAGCATTTTTACTTCAGTCTTCACTATTTTCCGTCTTCATACAAGATGTCAGCGTATTGCCATTACCAGGGCGTGCTCGTGTTTTCCTATGGAGAGTATAATTGCCTCCAAGCATTTGCGCCATGCTCAGCTAAGATGACAGAAAAATGTTGCACATCGTAACGTACCGCACCTCCGCGTCTCTTGGTTTGTTTGGTTTTTTTTTGTTTTGTTTTTTTTAAAAGTTGAGGCAACTAGATGGTGACGCTGATGTCTTCTTTCTCCAGATACAATAGATCTGTGGTTGTTGATGTGTAGACACGGTCGGCCCCGGGGCTCACCTCTACTACGGTATATTATGTTGGTGACAATGTGATTGAGCAGTCGAGTTTTGTCAATGTAGAAACAATTTGAGAGGTTGTGGTAGTGTAAGGGGCCCTACATCATCGGCCATTCATCAATCTGCTTTGTAAAACGTGATATTTTGTACTGAATATTTATATGACACAATTAAATATCTTTAAAATCAGCCTCTATATTTTCTTTATGAGGTATTTTCCCGGAATAATATTGGATGGTTAATAATTTGACAGCTTTCTGTACTTGTGTGGTAGCTCTAATGCACATTTCCTCTCGCTATGGAGGAACATTTGACTTATCTGAAGGATGTGATAGCAGCCACAGGCTAGCAGGCAAGTAATTTACCATCGTCACCGGTATGTATATATTATCTACAATAACTCTGAGTATAAAAGACTCAACTCTACATGTCAGATAGTTATTAATATGATGGCCGTTGTTAAATAGCTGGATCCAGAGGCTACTGAGCTGAGGAAATTGTTAATTAGACAATCTATAATTAAGATCTGTTTGACAGCCAATCAGATTCAGAGAAAGGTTAAAAAAAGAGAGGGAGAAAAAAAAAAAATCACATTTTGATTATTAGAGGATGAGTGGCAGATATGAGACAGATGGTGACATTGTACTGATTGAATATAATTGACTCAACCTTCTTTCTGGTTTAGGCCTCTCGAAAGAGAACTGTAAGGTTTACAACGCACGCAAGAAATCTGATTTTCGACTGATCAGAACAGAAGGTGGAACTTTATTTACAATATTAGCTTCGATAGTTTATTTAACATTTCATGGTTCATTTAAAAATGTGTTGCCTTTCTTTTTTTTTTGGCATGTGTCAGTAACGGTGTGAACTCCTGCTGTAGTTTTTGGATTTAAAAGTTAGTCATCAAACTCAACATTTAAAGTTTAGGCAACAAACATGAACATAAGACAACGTAAGGCCACCTCTGACAGTGCTACAAGACTAAACAGCATAAAACATTTTTCTTCATTTCTAATTCTGGTTGCCTTCTATCGCACTTAAACTCTGAAAATAGAAGACAAAAACATGATTTCACCCTAAATCCTTGAATTTAGAGTCATATCACCCCCAATAAGTCCTCACCCGTCTCCCATTGAGGTTCATGTAGAACTTGGGGAACAGTCAGTCCTTCTTTCTAAACTACACAGCTCCATGATCACCTCCATCCCGCCAACTCTTGCCTGGATGGTCGCCACATTCGCAGACAGGATTTCTTATTGCGGACGCAGGTCCTGATTGGCTCCCCGCGCCTCCCAAAAAGGTGCTGTCACTTCCTGCATTCCTCCACCTCGTCAGTCTCCTTCTCCTGCCGCTCCCGCTCTCGTCTCATCTCCTTCAGCTCCTGTCTGTATTTCCGCTCGATGAAGCGCTTCTGATGAGCCATCTGTGGGAAGTTATCTGGTACAGGGAGAGGCAGAGCGGGAAACAGAGGTTGACCAAGGAGAACAGATAAAGAGACAGACAAAGAGGCAGGGGTGTGAAGAGACAAGGTCAGCATCCAACTGGGCCAGGACAGCAATTTAGTGCTCAAATTGCACCAACTATAGTTTTCATAGCAAGTGTCATGCTGTCACTTTGGTGAAATGAGCGAAAATGTTGCAGGCAGTATTGCGGTTCAATTGCCCTCAGGTTGTTATTTCATTAATAATGATGAAGTAACAAGAAATTAGACAGGCCTTGTTTGGTTTCAGCACAGTGACTCTGAGATCTGATAACGTGATTGCAAGTGAACATTTCTAAATGAGATCTGTAATAAGATGTTGTAGTGTGACAGCGGAAAAAATACAACAAAAACAGATACAAGCTGATTGGATGCTAACATATAGGGAGTAGACAAAATAACAAAAGAGCTTGTTTTTGCTGCAGTCGGAGCACAGATGATCTTTAAATTGGTTTAATTTTCTCATGTTAATTGTCTCATTGCCAGACCTCTTATCGCTGACAAATGCTGCTGCTTGGCTTTCAAACAGGAAACTGTAGAAAAACACGAATGTAGCATCGACTACACCAGCCATTAGTTTCTAAATAGAAGTTTGGCTTTTTCACTCTCTGCCAACTTGGCTGCAGTGACACAATCCAAATTCTGGGCAATATGAACAGAGGGTGGCAGCGACTGAATCTAATAGGTTAGGACGCCTGTCAATCAAAGGAACACACCCGAACTTTTAAAAATTCATTTTAAAATCTCATTTCATTTAATAATGTCTCGTTAAAATATCATCTTTGTATTTCAGTGAAGACATATAATTTCATAATTGAACCCTATGGCTTTTTATAAGTTTATACAGGTTAAATCTGCATCTGTAACTAACAATGATTTTCATCATCAATTAGAATATTATCCTCATGATTAATCGATTAATTGTTTGGTCTTAACAATGTCAGTGAAAAACACGCATCCATATTCCCTAAAGCCCAAGCTGACATATTCAAACAGCTTGTTCTGTCTCACCATGTGTCCAAAACTAAGATTACCAAGCTTACTATTAATCATAGACGAGTAACGAAAGCAGCAAAAATTTACGTTTGAGAAACTGGAACCACCATTTTTTTCTTACTTAAAAAATGACAATTATTTGATTATCCCAATTTTTTGCTTACTTCTGTAAATCAATTAATCAACTGATAGTGTTAGCTCTAGCCGCAACTAATGATTTCATTTATTTTTTATTTATTTTCATTATTACTTTTTCTGTTATTTTTGATTGATCTATTAATCATTTATTTAGTGCAGTGCAAAAAATAGTGGAAGGTGCCAATCAAAAGTTCTGAGAGTCCAAGATGACATCTTCAAATCTCTTTCCAAAACCCCAAGATATTTATTTTACAAGAGAAAAGCACCAAATCGTTTGAGGAAGAAGAATATATATTTTTGACACGAAACAAATTGACTGATTATCAAAATGGCTGCTGATTATTTTTCAGTTGATCAACGAATCAACATAGTTTCAGTCCTAAACTCTGGCTTTTGTGTTCAGCTATGACAGTGGCAGCTCTTTATAATTTTGATATTCATAGCTTAGGCAATTTTCCATTAAGTGTTTTACCTTACTGGGTTGACCCACTGCACACTTCAATTTAAAACAGCATGCATGACAGCTGCCCAGTGGTTTGTGTCAACTCGCCGAGACACAAATTTGACTGTGCAGTTTTTCCGGTCACTGACCATTATCATGCAAACACCAACAAATGAGTCTTTCAGTGCCTTTAAGTTTTAAAGTCAGTCTATGATGGAGAATGTGAAGGAAGCACAATGATCTGCACCTGAATAAAAAAATCTGTTTTATAATAGTTCTTATTCAGGCCTTTCTGTCAGGGGTTTATTATTTGGAAATGTCTGAACTGTTACTTTTTTAAAAATTATTTTTCCTCCTGTTCAGTTTGAAAAAAAGAGGTTAAAACACTGACTTTCAGCGTATTTGATGGTGGTGGGATTGTAAACCCTTTTTATACACATATACTATACAAATTAACCAGATTTGAATGAGATCGTCATATTTAGTATTTGACTCTAAATGTCGGCTGAAAACCAACAGAACTGCATCTTCCCTGGTAAAGCTGCTGTTGTTTTGTAGACTGTGAGTAATACTTCCAGTCAGTAACATCCTGCAACGGCTGGCTCATGTATACACTCCTTGTTTTTTTCGGCTATACATTTGGGACAATTTTCCTGCTACATTGTCCTAACTTGTGTATAAAAAGACATCTGTTTGCCCAGTGTGGATGTAAACACCCTCAAACACCCTTAAAGTTGAGTCAGCACTTTAACCTCACACAGTGTTTCATTTTAAATCCAATGTGCTGCAGTTCAGAGCCAAAACAACAGAAAATGTGTCACTGTCTAAATACTTAGGGCCTGCACTGTATCATGGGAAGATAGTGTATATTATCTTCTGATAAATGGGAAAATTTAATTATGACTATTGTCCAGACAGTGGACTCACAGCTGATAATATGGCGCCTTAGGGTTTCAGCCAACTATTCAACTATCTGGCGTAGATATTGTGTTTTCTGGAGACCGCTGCCGTCCCACTGCTCCAGTCCC